ACTTTCTATGAACTAGAGAATAGAAAGTACCTGCTAGGTAACAACCAGACACTTACCAGTTGGTCCATAATTTGGCCCTAAGGCCGCGTTAATGGCCGCCATGTTTAAACTGTGATGTGGTTGATTTTTCGAAACTTGTTTTTAGGTCTTTAAAAAAACGGCACATCAGAATTGGCTCAAATTTGGCATAAACATTATTTGATCGATTATCTACAATGCCTTATTTTGATTTTTCTTTATTCAGCCTTTTTTTTTTGAAATTCAAAAATCATGTTCGCAACCACCAAAACAATTAAATGTGTTGGTGGTTGCATATTTGCATGTTTATCAAGCTTGGATCCGTGAAAAGCATATTTTATTGATAACCACGAAAAACTAAAAAAACCTAATTGTAGAGATTGTAGATGATATATCAAATAATGTTTATGCCAAAGGATTTTGGAAATTATTGCGGATTTTTTGAGATGACCTTAAAACGAATTTTGAAGTTGAAAACAGTTCAAGCAATTTCAAGTAGATGGCGCCACAGCAGAAAAGCTACATTGGGAGCATCATAATAGACCGATCTCCTATTACCTGGACTGCGCGCGTCGCTTGTAGGCTGCAGGTGAGCGTCCAATAAGAAGCAAGTTTGTGACAGGCTTGTGTCATATTCTTATTCAGGGGCCAGTTCAGAATGAATCGTTCCTTCTTTCTTTGTAACGTGTAATTCGACAAAGAGCAAACTAATACTTTACATATTACTTGAACTCACCGCAGTGTCGTTTAAGGTTATGTTAGAATATACTTGACATATTCCTTTGCAGTTTCATTGAGCAATGTTGCCGAATGAAACATTTATCAAAATAAAAGTGGAAACGATGTTCATCCACTTTAAAGCTCTTCTTTTGACTGATTTGAGGCGTTGTGAAACACTTGACACTATATCACTTCTTTATTGTTATAATGTTTGATTTGTATTGTGTACATTTGTCCTGCAACAATACAATCTGGCTACACTGTATCCTACGAGTTGCGCGCGCATGTCATCTTTTATTGCTTTTTAAGTTGTATTTATTACAATTAAGCTCTCTTTTTCTAATCATGCGAGATAGGTCTATTGTATATTTGTCTTTCTCTGTCACTAAGTGTTTCACCGACAAACAGATTTTGTTTTGGAAAAATAATAAAATATTGAACCCTATGTGTAGGGTGACGCAATTGTCATTTTCAAAAACTAAATTTAAACATGGCGGCCATAGAGCTGTTGATAGTGCTGGAAGACGCCGACGCATAGAATCTTGTAGTTTTTTCTGTATTATCTCATAAAAAAACGATTTCTTCTACTTGTTGGATAAAACATTGTATGCCACTCGTGCGGTATGTTTCCTAAGTCACTTGAGAATTTATACCACTCGGCCTGACGGCCTCGTGGTATAAATCTTTCTCGCGTGACTTATTTTCAACATAACACACTATTTATTTATTTATTTATCAACGGGTAATTTCCCAATTAAAAAACAGTACAATTTTAGTAATATAAAATACCTAATTTCTACCTAACCTTAAAACAAATTAAATTATATTAAAATAGACCAAATCAAATTAACATTAAAATTAAAATGGGCTCTTTCACTAAAATTTGAATACGTAATTTAAGTATAAAATCCCAAAGGAGGGACTATTTTAGGCATATATACCAAAAAAAAATGTTCTACAAGGTTGAATAAGTTTTTTACAGGCATTTTAAACTACCAAAATTTGAATTATTTAAAAACGCGCCGATTTGCTGACGTCGCATAAATATTTTTCATTTCGCTTGTTGTTGCAAGAGCTGTTCGCCTCTGCTGTATTTACCCTGTAGTAAATGCAGGTAAAGGTTCGAATGCGCTGTTGTCGGTGGTGACTAAATGTAGTGCAACGTAAAATAAATAAATAAAACTAAACATAGAAAATTATATTAAATTGTGTTTAAGCATAATTTCAATAAAAATGTTATAAAATCTTGAATCCAAAACTAATTAATTTAACTACTTTTCATGATATTTTGCGAACATTTCAGAATTAAATCTATTACAAATTTTCAATGTTGACAATTAGTGGCAACACGGTCAAATTGCGAGCTGCGACGTCATAGAAATAAATTCTGGGTTTTTATTTGGAGGTATTTCTTTTTTGTCTGTTTTCTCAAGAAGAACTATGAATTTTTCAAAAGTAAAAATACAGAAAATTCTGTTTTTAGTTGCTTTATCCAAATATGCCAATTTCAAAAATTAGTGAAAGAGCCCATTAAATAAAACCCTAGAAACCTGATCAACAATAACAATGAGTTGCAACACAAACAAAATATAAAATTTAAAATTTAGGTCTGAAGCTAAAATAAAATATTAAACAATATGTAACAGTTTATTTTTAAAAGTTCTTTGGTCGACAAAAAAGTCTAGAGTATCACAGTGTTGATTGGCAAGTCGAGCGGTCCTAGACAAAAATGAGTTTAAACCATAGTTGGTTCTATGGGGTGGAGCATTGAAGGAATGGTTCTGTCTAGTTTGCCGTAAAGGAACGTGAAGCCCAATTTTTTCAGTAAGATCAGGAGCAAAACTGTGGGAGTGCAAGTTGTGGAACATTATTAGGTCCCTGTGAAGTCGACGAACTTGAAGAGTACCAATATTTAGATTGTTTTCCATTTCAGAATAGTTGATGTTTTCAGCTATATGATGCTCTCTGAAAGAGATGTACCTCAAAAGCTTATGCTGTACTCTTTCAATAGCCTGGATATGGACATCGTAATGAGGAGACCAAACACAAGAACAGTAATCGAGGTGTGGGCGCACAACAAGAGAGCAATACAATGTTTTAATTGAAGAGGTGTGGAGAAAGTCCTTAGTACAGCACTTGATGAAACCCAGAATTTGAAGAGATTTGGAGACAGCCAATGATATTTGAGGTATATAAGACAACTGACTATCCAAAATAACTCCCAAATCTCTTATCTGAGAAACAGCATTCAGCGGACAACCATTCACAGAGTATACTCGCTGGGTGGGGTTCCTGCCACGAAAATCATTAGATGGCACTTTTTAACATTTAATTCCATTCCATTTTGTGTACACCAGCCAGACAGACGATCCAGGTCAGATTGTATTTTTAAACAATCTTCAGTTTTGTCGACTCTCATGTAAAATTTTAAATCATCCGCAAACATTAAAAAATGGGTGTGTAAAAAACAGGAGGAAATATCATTAACGTACACATTGAAAAGCAGAGGGCCAAGATGCGAACCCTGAGGCACACCTGATGGGACTTGGATTTCACATGACTTGTAGCTCTGAATACGTACTACTTGCGTTCTACCAGAGAGATACGATCCCAACCACCTTAAAAGCCTTCCATGGATCCCTTTCACAGCCAATTTCTGAATTAGTACTTCGTGGTTTACACGATCGAACGCCTTTGAAAAATCGGTGTATATGGCGTGTACATGATGCCCCTCCTCCAGGGCCTCCAACAAAAAGTCGGTAAATGTGAGCAGGTTATGTTCAGTCGAGCGGTGCGCAAGAAACCCAAATTGCTTGTCACTAAAACTGCTTCTCAAATTCTTAGCTAGAAAATCACAAACAAGGCTTTCGAAGACCTTAGGTATACAGCTTAGTATACTAATGGGCCTATAGTGATCAACTTGCGCTGTATCTCCTGACTTTAGAATAGGCGTAATAAAGCTAGTTTTCCAGAAAGTTGGGAAGATACCGTTTTCCAAAGATAGATTTTTTTCTTAAGCACGGTCTGAAATATTAGGCCGTTTCCATATACAGGGTGTCCCACGGTGGATGGCGTATTAGACGTTTATGGAGAACTAAAAAGCGGATCTTTTTGAAAATTTGGCAACCGGGATAAACGACCATGATCTACATTTTAAAAATATTTTTGTTTATGCGGTGTTGTCGCTTTTACTCTAAACCAGTGGCAACATCGCTATTTTAAATAGAACACCCTGTATGTGATTGCATATTTGGATTCTACGTAAAATTCTGAGCAGATTTCATGTGATATACCCTATACCTAGGTTCAACTGTTTTGGAAATATTGACAGTTGAAAATTGCTTTTTTGCAACTTTGACAGGCTGTAAAACCTGAACGGTTAATTTAGAGAAAAAACGATTCTACATTCCTGTCTTAGATTTTCATGAACTATTATTTGACACCAACTTTAAATTTAATTCATGATTAAAAAATCCAATTAAATTTAATCTCCGGTTAAATTCAAAGTTGGTGTCAAATGATAGTTCATGAAAATCTAAGATAGGAATGTAAAATCGGTTTTTCTCTAAAATTAACCGTTCAGGTTTTACAGCCTGTCAAAGTTGCAAAAAGTCAATTTTCAACTGTCAATATTTCCAAAACAGTTGAACCTAGGTATAGGGTTTATCACATGAAATCAGCTCAGAATTTTACGTAGAATCCAAATATGCAATCACATACAGGGTATTCCATTTAAAATAGCGATGTTGCCACTGGTTAAGAGTAGAAGCGACAACACCGCATAAACAAAAATATTTTTAAAGTGTAGATCATGGTCGTTTATCCCGGTTGCCAAATTTTCAAAAAGATCCGCTTTTTAGTTCTCCCTATACATCTAATATGCCATCCACCGTGGGACACCCTGTATAACAATATAATGGACAAAACCTTACAGAATTAAAACCGTGGAACTCCAAAATTTCAGTAGCACCGATTTCTTAGATCGCTATCGTACTCAAATTTCAACAAATAACGATAAAAAAAGTGATTCAGCCACTTTGAACATGCACTTTGCCCTTCCTCTTTTATCCAGAATCGAAGGCTGGATACGCCAGTTTGTTACGTTTGGGGGTTCAAAATGTAAACTTCGTAATGAAAGCATGTTTTTCTTGATGATAATCATTTCACAGATTCAAAGTTACAAGAAGATCTCCAATCGTAAATAAAAGCTATATAAATAATCAAAAACTGAAAAAAAGTTTTGTTTTTATTAACTCACTCACCTATACAATCTCTTTTTGGCAGTAAAGGATTGGGCGCATCGCTGGTAGGAGAAACCAAAGACCCGCCCCGTTGCACGAGCTCCACTTCCAAATTGGTTCGTGCTATCGAGTTAACAAACAGGATCAAACTTTGAGGTATCGGTTTTTCGCTTTTTGGCCTAAATAACGCTTTCAATTGCGTACTATTCGTCATATCTTCCATCACTTTACCTATGGCTTCTGCCATACTAGACGAACTCTAATAAAAGAAGTGCATTATTAGCATATTTGATTTGCACTCTTCTATAATTGAATAATTTCATGAAGCCACACTACTTACTGGTTTCTGATCGTTGTCATTTAAAAAGTCGCTAATTTCCTCCAAAATATGTAACATGGAATCGTTAGGCTTCGCTCGAACCATTTGGGATTTATCGCCGTATTGTGGCGATAAAGGTAACACGGAATTCGCTAATTGCCTACAAAGGGGGCACAAGTATTCGCCCCTGAAACAATAATTTTATTTATAATTAAACAATATTTAATGAACGAAAATTCCATACTTTTCTGGAGACAAAGTTTGTTGTCTCTGTTGCGACCGCAACGATGTCAAGTACGAATTTAAGCAATCTAAATGTAGATGATGACCGCAGGTTTGTACATGTACGCCACCGTCCCAGCCAGTGTTCACTGATAGGAACCAAGATGTCTGAAAATTAAAGAATAATTAGCAACAAAAAAGGATTGGATGTTATTGGAACTCCATTTAATGCTGATGTTTACTGTCACTTAGCATTTGTGCATTCAAGATATTCTCAATAAAAGTATTTTATATAAACTCTCTATAGTCCGTTCATAAAGTCTTTTTCGAGTGCGTTATCTAAGATTTTTTTTTTTTTTTTAGGTAAGGAATCTTAGGAAATGATGAATTCTACTTACAGGAGCAAAATGCCTATCCAACTCCTCAACTCTTCTATCGAATTCTGCTGACAAAGTGTCATCTTTCCTACACTGTTCCCGTTCATCATCACAAGTGGGCAAAGTCGATCTTTCTGGCTGTCCATATCTTCGCCTATGACCTATAACACTAGTAGCTTGTATCAAAACCACCAGACCCATTGGTTTGTCTTCCGTACTAGGAGAACTAGGGAGAGAGAGACTTTTATTTCAACTGAACCACTAAGTTAAAACCATTATTCTAGCTAATATGCTTCAAGCACAAAAAAACAAAACCTACCTAGTATTACAAATAACACAATCGTATTCCTCTTTACTAATCGGTATCTCACTTTCATCCATACTACTATCAGAATTTTCATCAGTTTCCATCCGTTCCTTTTCGCGTTTCCAAAAGTCGTTTTGCTTTTTTGCAAATTCCGCCATCAACTTATCCTGTCTATCTTTCGCCCTACGTCTCCGGTCTTCTCTTTCCTTATTTTCGCGCATTCTCTTTGCTTTTTCATTCTCCTCGGCCGAAGGCCACAATTGACGCCTGCTCTCCTGTATGTAACTGTGACATCCAGAATCTGAGATGGCGATTTTTTTGAGCAGTTTTCCCACATAGAATGGACCATCTCCACAAGGAACCTATAACAGTGGTCAACTTACTACCTATTATATTATTTAATTGGGAAAGCTTACCGTATCATCGCCGCCAACAAAATAATCAATTTCTTCATCGTCTGGATCAAAACTGTCAGGAATTCCAGAAAGTTTCGAATGTAGCTTTAACAATAAGGAGAGTATGCTTTCGTCAAGGGTTACAGATGGTTGGTCTTCTGGATAGTTCTTCTATAAAAAAACACAATTGTAAAATATCGGTAAATTTTCTTAAAAATAAATAGCTTACTGGTGGTTTTCTCGCTTTATTTCTTCTTCTATAACCGCGTGAAGTAGATGGCAATGCTAGACGTTCAAGCTTGTCTGGTAGAGGAAGCAGATTCAATGGTCGTGTTCTTGGACCTGAAAAAGATTATTTTTAATTCATACGAATTATAGCTTAATTCGGGTTTGAGAAAAAGACTGTTCTAGAACGATTCAAGACAATCGCACAGTTTATCAATCAACAAAATGACAACGGCTCGGCTATCACAATTTTCAATAAAAAACTGTGATTGTTTGGAATCTTTCTAGAACTGTCCTTTTTTCAAACCCGAACAAGGCTTATTACCAATGGTACAGGTAAGGTACCTAATGGATTTATTGAAACAAAAATGCTACTTTCATAATATGATTTCCACAAAAAATCGTATTGTGTTTGGAAAATATTATTAGTACTTTAGTAGCTTGGTACTCGATTATGTAAAGGATTCTAGTACCTACTTTTCAAAATATCATATTCAACAAGATAAGCAGATATTCCTAAGACTTAGAAGAGTGTACACTCAAACTTTAATTTGAGCTAAAGACGGAAATTCGAAAAATGATAAGTTTGGCAGACGCTTCATAATATTTGAGATTGAAAGGAAGCCACATTAACCAATCAGAAGCTTTCAAGATGTGATGATACCACAAGGCGTATGAGCTATTCAATATATCAGTATCTAAAGCAGATTTGGAGCAGATTGGGGATTCGAACAAAGAAACTGTCTTGGCTGTGAACTACACAATAAACATCACAACATGATATGTAGCGAGTGATTGGTGAACACTTGAAACAATGGAAAATATGATCGCAAACATGAATTAGTAGATATTATGTATTGGAAGAAGACAACCACAATCAAGATCCACTTACTTGATTTTTTTGCGATTTCATTTCCAGCCAATAAAGCCGGATAATTAACGGGCGGAGGTAAAGCGGCTTGTTCTGGGGAATCTGCATCTAAAACCAAATGAATGGCACTTTCCTTTGTTGAAAAACAATAATGCCTTAGAAATATTACCTTGTCTAGACATTGTCTTATCGCCAGGTATTGCTACTGTCCTATCATCGACTTCCATAGGCTCGGCTACAAAGTCCGGAGAAGGAAGGATGGCTAGTGAAGGAGATATTATTTCTACAGGTGATTCTGGTATACTTCTGGGTTCTTCTGGAAATTAACAAAAATATGCGTTAAATTTTAGAAAAAGTAAAATATGATTTTGTCCAATGTTTTTACAATAAAACATCAACCTTTGATTTTCTTAGATTGGCTTTTATTACTTATCAGTCCACACAATATCACTGTACAAGTGTACACTCCAAACCGATATTTCAAATCTAGTGAAAGCACAATCTGGAAAATAAGTTTCAGCAAACTGTGGCGAGAGGCACTGACGATCATTGAAAGGACGTTGCGTTACAAACATAGCAAAGCGTTTTAAAGACCGAATAAATCAACATAAAATGGAGATCAAGTTCATGTGCTTGAAGTTTTACTCCCAGTATTCCCAAGATCATAACGATGAAGGAAATTTCGATGAGATTCTTTGTGACTTTGCAGTTTTAGTAGTGAATATTTGGAATAGTTTTCGGAACCAATTTCTGCCATGATCAACGCAAAAAATCAGAGAATTATCCCAACACGCCTGTGCATCATTCACTTCTTTGATCCAAGCCCTTCCATTTCAGGAGTTTAGATCCAATTTCAGCATGCAATATTATTTTGCATGTCATCCCCATAGAGGTCATCCCGCCATCGACCTTGAAGTATGTCAATACTCTGCTTGGTTTTCCTCCGGCGCGGCGCCACCTGTGTAGATTTTGTCTCGCTATATTATGTCTAGCCAGCCCATAGCCACTCCAGTTGTATCAGAGCATATAGCACATCCATCACCCTAGTCTTCTTATTGAGTTACTTTTTTTTTTCAAAATTTAGCCTTCTGTTTGATATGTGTTAGAACTTTAATACTTTTGTTGCTTCCGACTGTATTTTTGATAAGCTTAGTATTATGATCCTTTAGGTCTTTTCGAATGCTTCTATTGATTTCCTTGCTAACTTTTTTCTAGTTTTGGTTTTCATAGTGTCAACAAGCAAGCTACTTGGAAAACCACTGTATATGATTGACCGACTATTGATTGGCGAGTCAGCGATAATTGATAAACGAATAAAAATAGTGGTCGGCAACACATGTACGGATACGCAGACTTGAACCAGCGCAATTTCTCTTTTGGGAAAGCTCCTCTGGGTGTCATCAGTCTTCGTGTCGTCCAGCGCAATTACCTCTCTTGGAAAAGCTCCTCTGGTCTCAAGCCGTGAGATGAAGTTGTGACATTTGGTAGAGTAGTAACATTAGATCGATAAGTGAAGGCATAAGGGTTATCAAATACGAATATAGGAGAAGGATAACATAAATCGAATATCAGGAAGAAGAACATGATAAATACAATCTACGATCCAAAGGCACGAGCACGCCTAGTAAAAAACCACTGTTTAAGCTAAGCCTTAGAAGCACAGAAGAAGTCTCCATACCCTCTCGGACACTAACAAGATCACTACCACAATCTCCAAATTTTGATTGGGAGCAAATCACGGAAATAAAAGGTGAAAATCTATCACCAGTCGGAATTGCATCAGGAAACCAAGAGAGAACAGTGAATCAACTAACAGATATACCCATCCTCACAGAGAAGAACAAAATGGCCAATACAACTATCGTCGAAGCCATGCAAACGGAGAAAAAAGCAACGGTACCCCAATTTATAAACCCTCCGACATTCCAACCAAGCAGAAGCAGTGCGACAGAACTTTTGAGGGGTCATGAAAGGACGGTCATAGAAAACTGGTGGAATGACACACTCAAAATTACCTATTTTGAGACATTTCTAGACGGCGCAGCTAACCTGTGGGTTCAAGATTACAGAATAAGTTAATCAGGACAAAGAGTGGAAAGAAATCAATAATAAGTTTACGAAGGAATTTGAAGATTGAGACTACCGAACATCTCTGAAAAAGAAAGTTAAAAATAGATAACAAACGTCTGACGAGACAGTCCGAGATTTTCTATACGAACTAAGAGTGCTGTACCACGATTATAAACAGACCATGGATATCAACGAATTTGTGACCATCTTTAGCGAAGGGCTAACAGAAGATAATTTCACTACTACTGGCTCACAAATCCACCAAATAGACCTCCTTCGACAATGGAAGAAGTTGAAGAAATTACACAAACGATAGATAAAGCCCCAAGGAAAAAAACTAAGCAAACTCCAACTGCAATTGCAAAGGCGTATGATACCAGATCGCCCCAACAAAGCAGCAAAGAAATCACGTCCTACTTACTATTGTGGGAAAAAAGGACATAAGGCAGCCATCTGCTACAGTAAACAACAGGCAGTCCAGAGAAAGGGACCAGCCTCGGTCCAAAACAATGGAAAAGGGACAACGTGCTATAACTGCGGAAAATCAGGTTACTTTGGAACAACTTGCAAGAATCTACGACAGCACCCAAACGGGAGAGGATGGCAAAAGTAAGCGCCCCTGCCATCCTAGCACTGGAGCCAAAAATAACGTCATGCAAAGAAATTTGGCAACAGAAAAGACAACAATACAGTCCTAATCATCGCCGGAGGTCATCGGATACCAGTCATAGGAGAAGTAACAAGTAAAAAAGTAAATTATCCGAAATTATTGTAAGATGGACCAATGGACCTTTCGGGAAGCACGGTGTGGAGAGGTACCGTTAAAGCAAAAGTTATTTCAGCATCCCTACGACAAATAAGCCTAGGTATGGAGTTTCTAACAGAAAATAAGGCTATTATAAATCTATACGGAAGCTGCTTATACTGAATAATTTATCTACACCAAGATCACAAGAAAAAGATCAGTCTGTCCAGCCTCATTATAACAACTCAACCGGTAAACAAATACAAGTAGGACGAAAAAGATGGAAAAGAATTTGACAAATTTCTCAGAGCCCATCCACAGATAGAAAAGGGAGAAGTGAACAGCTTCCTAAAAGAAGAAATCAGACATGGAAACCAGGTGCAAAGCAATGCCACCAAGGTGTTCGGGGTAACGGGAAACTACAAAACAAAGAAAGCTGTCTACAAATCCTACAAACACATGCTCCCTTGGAGGAAAGCAGGGGGCACAGGCGGGCAATTATCATTAGGTCTGTTTCTGCAGAAATCACAAACCAATCAGAGTCAATTTCAAGGGTTGAAACTATTTTAGGTTTCTGACTGTTTTCAACCAATGAAATTCGGTCTGACTGCTTTGTGATTTCTGCAGAAACAGACCTAGTAATAAAACACGACAGAAACTCAACAGTGTTCCTTTTTGTAAAGGAGACAATGCAGACAAAACCCACACCAAGAAACATGTATAAATGTTTGATAGCACTGAGAGAAAGCATAAAAGAGCAATCCTTCAAAAAACTGGTATTTCCTAGACAAGGATGGAGACTGGAGAAAAATGGGAAAGATTCAAACAGAAGCTCTCTTTTGTGTTCAAAGACACAGGAGTCGGAGTCAGCATCCAGACAGTTAAACCAGACTTCCGGAAGATAGAGTCAAAAATTGAAGGCCAAATTAAGCCTCCAATGCAAATAGTCACGGACTCCCAAGACAAAGCACATAAAATAGGAGCCAAAAAGGACTACACGATAACACAGAATGAGATAAAGACAATAGAATTAGAAATCATTGGCAACACCGGCAACCTAAACGAGACAGTGGGCTACAAATGTAAATTTAATCTAAATTGGGCGGCAAAATCGACTGACACTGAAAACACACATTTATACAGATGGAAAGAGCCTCACTATAAAACTACAATCGAACAGAAGAAAGCCACTAGCTTTATATGCAGGAACCACGATAGCATTTTTAGAGGACTATTACCTAGTAACACCAGGAAGAAATCATTGAACAGCAACAGACAGAAGCAGTAACACTAGACGACCACAGGTTGGACAACATCACAAACGAAGTTAAATTGGCTCTACAAAAACTGGAGTACAATGATGTTTTTTCAAAATCAACAAAGCACATGGGAAAGATAAATCTGACAGAACATAAAATAGAAGTAGGGGAGGCAAGTCCAATAAGAAACCGTCCTTACACAGTATCCCAGAATGAAAAGCAAAGAAAAGAAACGCTAGACAGCAATGTAATAAGGCCCTGTCATTTACCGTGGGCTAGTCCAGTGGTCCTAGTAAAGAAAAAAGATGGTGAAATCCGTTTTTGTGTCGACCACCGAAAAGTTAATGCCGTAACAATGTAATCATCATACCCTCTACCACAAATCGACGATATTCTATCATATCTCGGAAATGCATCCTATTTCAGCACTCTTGATATTGTCAACTAGCTACTTAGCAAAGCAGGACCCAGTATTCAACCTTATTAATTTAACTGCCTATTCAATCGGATGATTATTGCAATTCAGCAATAAATTCCTATAAATAGTGGGCCAAGCCGAGCAACAGACAGACTTGAATCAGTGTTAGTACCGCCACCCTGGAAACAGCCCTCAGGAGCAGTGGCGTAGCGTGAGCTTTCGTCGCCCGGGGCCGACCGGAAATTCGCCGCCCCCTCTATTTTATAATAGCCAAGAAAAAGAAGTCAGTCAGTCAAAGTTTCTCAATTTTTTTTTTTTTTAGATACCTACTTCTAGTGATCAAATATTACATAGTTTCTTTTTTTTGCATTTTAATTTACGTTGTACGAAAAAAATTCACCTATTGAAATTCGAATCAAAAACTTTGGCACGAAAACGCGAGGTTTCAATATGACAGCGCTCATGACGTCATTATTTTGTAAACAACAAACGTGCAGCAAACGAACTCCTGCTGACGAAGTGCTATTTTTGTGTTAATTGAGTGTGTTAAAGTTTGTTTTTTGTGAAAATTGTCGCAATGGATGAGGAATATTATAAAGGACTGCTTTTGAAAATTTTATTCCAATTACAAATTCCCTATCGACAGGTTTGTTTACAGAATCGTGACGTCAAAAAAGGTAGCCATCATAGAAGCATTGTTTTAGCGGAGAATTTTTCATTTAGTATAATTTTTTGTGCAACAAGGGCGATATCAGTTGCATAAAAACTTGTCATATAAATATTGTGCAGTATAAACTATCGATTTAAAAACAAATTTGGAAAAT